GATGATTTCAGGGAAGAGAGTGAGTGAGTAAGAAGATGAGGAAGGGGCAGGGAAACACCAAACACTTTCAGTGTACACCCTCAAACAGTGAATGAAATTTGAAATCAGTAGAATGGAAACATTTGGGATGAAGAATGGAAGAAAGTGAAACACAAAGGATGAGAGACTAATGTTTCAGTGCTGGAGAAGTCATGATGAGCAGGACAGTCATTTTACGTGTTTGTTATACCCAAAAAACAAAGCCAACTAAAACCGAAGGGGCTAAATATTATACACAATATTCCAATGTTTTATTGCCTAGAGCTCAGAACTAGAATAACCAAGATCTTTGTACAGATTTCAGAGTTAGCAAAGGCCGAAGAATTTCCCTGGGCATCATAACTTTGGCAACCAATATTGCAGAATGCTAAAACAGGAACTTCAAGAGAACACGATAGGGATGTTTTCTAGACCTTCTTCCTCCCAGAACCTCATCGAATACCTGCAGAGTGCATGCCAGGCAATCACAATCTGCCCAAAAGCCTGACATGTTCCCCTCAGTGACCTCTGACACCAGAAATAAAAGGTACAGACATATTCACACCATAGGATGCACCAGAGCCAAGGTGCATTAGCATATGGCAGCTAAGATGAATGTTTGGAAGTAGCCCAGTCTCTGAGTCAGACTGATCCTTTCCGTTCATAAACTTTAAAGTGCCAGGAAAAAAGCAAAAAAGTCCAATTAAAATAAATCCCAGCTAACTCCACTGCAGGCTTATCACCACAGCGTGAGGAGGACAGGATTTTGTTCTTTATCCAGTGAGAAACTTGAGCAAGAAGCCATGAAGAGGCCTCAGCAGAGACAGGGTGAAAGGAGTGTTCTTTGGTGAGGGAGAAGTCTGGAGACTGCTGGGCCTGTCCTCCTCTGAAGGCTGGAGGAGTTTTCTGGAAGGGTTTATTTCTTGCTTTGGTGGAGTGATTTCTGATTTTGCACGCCATCATTTAAAAGGAACCTTTCACTTCATTTCTGACCATTCATCTCCCCCAAGCACATCTCCTCTTAGCTTCTGCCTTAAGCTGGATTTATCCTCACCTCCAAGTCCCTGCACATTCCTACATGTGTGGTCTGTTTGCTCCCAATTCCCTTCTGCTGGGAATTCCCTTCTCCAGCAGTTTCTCTCTCCATTTATTCCTATCTTTCCACTGCTCCCTTGCATGATGTGTCTTACAGCACTCTCCTCACCCCATCTCAAGCCAACACCTTGAGACATTTTGGAGTCTCTGTTTGGCCAAGTGGTGATTGCTGGAGCTGGCACCAAGGATGGAATGGGTCACAAGGCATCTGGAACCGACCACCAAAACTAACCCCACTCCAAATCTGAGGCCAGATACTGTAGTGACAGCACAAAGGGAATGGCCTCAAACTGAAAGAAAGCAGCTCTAGACGGGATATTGGGAAGAAATTCTTCCCTGTCAGGGTGGGAGGCCCTGGCACAGGGTGCCCAGAGCAGCTGTGGCTGCCCCTGCATCCCTGGAAGTGTTCCAGGCCAGGCTGGATGGGGCGTGGAGCAGCCTGGGACAGTGGAAGGTGTCCCTGCAGACAAAATAAGGCCAGAGATAATGATTTTTGCCTTAATTGATTACAGGGTTAATAAAACATCTTTATCAAATATTTTTCTTTGGCCACACCCTGCTTTCTGCAACAGATTCTTTAGCACTGACAAAACCTCCCCAATCCCCTGACCACCACAGCAGTGCCAAGAGACCAAGTGAGAACAAGGAAAACACAAGTCTCATTTGCAGCAGAGGCCGCAATTAAAAATCCATATCCTTACTACGGAGAAAATGAAACAAAACAAAAAAAAACAGGTACGTATTTCTTGTCTTAATGTCCCATTGGGCTTACTCAGCTGGACAATATCTAGAGGAAATCACTGAGAATGCTGATAAGGCAGCACAGAGGACATGCCAAAAGCAAGGCAGGGAAGTGCAGCTCAACATCTCACGCACAGGGCTGGCTCCAGAGGGTCAGAGGATGGGAGAAACCCTCTAAGCTGCAGCAGCAGCACTGGCTGCCCACAGCAGGAGCTGGCACGTCTTCCAAGGAAACTTCCAGAGCCTTGCTGGAGAAATTCCTCCTTGTCAAGCTGCTGTTTGGGTTCACTTCTTTGCTGCCTGAGGGCCTTTGTGATTGTGAAAAATACTAATCACTTGGTTTTGAAAATTTTAAAAGTTTAATAGTAATAAGATGGTTATAAAAATAGTAATATATTTCAATATATTATATATAATATAATATATATAATATATAGAAATATATTACTATTTTATATATAATATAATTAGAGTAATAACATTTAGAGTTAGAACAATTATAAGACAATAAAAAGTAAAGAATTATGGATGCTTGGATGTTCTTGGACACTAAGTTATAAAAAAGTATACTTTGTGAACAAAGGAATAACTTTAAAAGCAATAGCTTGTTGCATATTCATATATTTAATACATGATGTATAAATTCTTTGTAAATTAAGAACTTTTTTTGTTTTTGTTAACTTCTTTTTTTAATTTGGGTGTTTTTAAAAAGACTGAGAGAAGGTGTAAGAATGTTTGGGTTTTTTTGATAAGGAGGTAGTAACTTTTTATGGGCTTCTTTCGCTGATATTTCTGCCTGAAGAGTTGATTAACTCCTCTTTTTGTTTGAGCTTGTAACAAATTCTATATTACAGAGTTTCTATTTTAACATTATGTTGTAACTTAAAACTACATTTAACACACTACTTAAGAGAATGAATACAGCATAACTTTCTAACATTACACAAATAACATTCATTGTAACATTTGTGAAAAGCCAATGATAAAATATGCATTTTTCACATGTTGGCCTAGTGCTGCTGAATCCTCCCATAGTCGTTCTGCTGTGTGGGAACCCAGGGCTTCCCTCTGGCTGCCCTGGCAGGGGTCAGGAACCCCCTGGACAGAGCCCCCAGAGACACTGGCTGTGATCTCTGCCCATGGAAAAGAGTTTTCAATCTTACAGGATCAATTACCAGCTCTGAGGGTTTGATATAAGTAATAATTAAGTGTGGCACGGGTGCAAAAGTAAAATTTTAGGATTCTAGATGAGGGGTCCAAAGGGGACAAGATAGAGGAAATTGGGTGTGCCTTGTCCTTTTTCTCCTTCTTCATGCCCTCCATGTCTCACTGTGGTGTTGGCATTTTTCTGTTGGTTCAGGCTGGGGACACACTATCCAACGTAGGTGACAGATATTGGCACGTTCTTGTAAATGCAGCCCAGGGAGTTTCTGGTATTTAATGTTTGTCACATCCCACTGAGGGCAGAGCCCCACACGCTGCCCTGCAGGACAGAGCTGGGCAGGGCAGCAGAACATGTGAGAGATCAACAGAATAAACAACCTGGAAACCAGCACAGATTAATTACAACTTCTTCTTTGGCAGGGGGCTGACAGACAGAGACTTTCTACAATCTCGGGATCATCAATAGCACAGATTCCGACACTGCTGTAAAAAGCTGGTTTCCACGTATTGCTGGCTTGCAGAGCTCCCAGCTGGGAAGAAGCCACCCACTCAGAGAGGTGCTTGTGGCACAGCATCCTCATCCCTGCTGAGCCTCAGTGCCCGTGCAGCAGCTCTGGGAGGCGTCCAAAACAACACTCAGGCACCAAAGTGCAACTCCTGCAGACTGTGCTGGCGCCTGTGCTGGTGAGAGCAGCCCAGGGAAGCTCTGCCTGCCCTGCTCAGATGCTCTCCGTGCCCGCAGCTCCTGGGGAACGCTGCCCGAGGCGCCGCAAGGTCTGGCGCCTTGTCCTGCCCCACTGCTCTGGGTGGGCTCAATTCCCTCAGCTGCTCCTCGCCTCCTTGTCCAGAAATCAGGTGGGGCTTTTGTCAGGAAGACCTTCAAGACCCAATTTCCCAGGCACGATGTAGGCACCAGAAGGGAAATCTCAGGAGTCCTTATAGGTATTTAACATCGGTGAGTCAGGGACCCCTCCTCCAGTATCCAAGTACAGTCACTGTTTCCAAGGCAAAAGCCCTAATTCAGCTCCAGAAATTCTGCACTTCTGGTTACACAGTGCCTCAGCCTTCAGAGGCTGGGCAGAGCACGTTTTTCTCCCTTCCTTTCATGCCCTCAAGTTTCTCACACACTCTGTGTCCAAGATCCACACCTGTCTCCCAGGGAAGGGCTCTCCAGCACTCAGTGAGTATTTAAAGCAGAGTATTTAAGCTTGTCTCCCAGGCATATTTTCACTGACAAGACTAACTTAGATGTGGATGCCAAATGTGTTATCAAAGTCCAGAAGCAAACACTTTGTGGCCCTGTATGAGTTTCACACTGAGGTATTCAGAGGTCCCCTTCTCCTGAGGATTTCCCACTGGCTGACTTAGGAATCTCAACATCAGTGTACAGGCCACTTGAGTCCTTCAAATCTTGGTCCTGAACTATTCCTCTCCAGTGTAAAGGGAATTTAAGGCATTCAACTCACTACAGAGCATTGAGAATCGGTGTGATCCTCACCTCTTCTCTGCTAATCCCAACTCTCCTTGAGATCTGGCCCTCTTAGTGTTCAAAGTCCTCTAACCAGGATTTCAGCCTAGTTAACTGTTAACTTGCATCTCCCTCTGGCCATGACCTTTGGCCAGGTGTTTGAAGCCTCCTGAACCACACTGAACACTCACCACCACAGGGGTGCTCTACAAAGCATGAGGTAAGCCTGGGACAGGGGCTACAACTTCCTTGTGGCATTCATTTCCACAGTGAAAAAAGAAATAAAATACAAAAATACAAAAAATGTCCTGCTCGCCGTGACTTTCCCATAGTAAATTCCTGGCACCCAAAAAGTGACAGGAAACAGGCTTGAAAACAGGCAGTTTGTATTAAAAACAGGGTAAATTTTTTAGGGGCTTCGAGAGTGGCAGATTCCCCTGAGCATTTTCCCAGTGTCACAGCACAAGGGAAAGGCCATGTGGCTGCAGAGATCCCCTTCTCCACACTTACAAACATCAGCTGTACCCATCCCTGTGACTGAAAAATAATGAGATTATTTCTTCTGCCTATTGAGCAGGAAGAAGAAGAGAGTGGTTGTTATGTCTTCTTTCAGCTATTCAATAAAGAAGGAACTTACACAGTAAATTCAGTAGGTATTAATTTATTCTATTGTCTATTTTAAGTCCAATCTTGCAAAAATGGCTGGACAGCATTACAAGTGGTAATGATAAACAAACCACGCTGCAACAAGACTTTAAGAGAACATGTAAAGCTTGCTTTTTGTTCCCTGGAATTTGGGGAGTACTGCCAACACACAGCTTATCCAAATCCTAAGAGGAAGGGCTGAACTTTCATTACTGATTATACTTAGCACAGCACTTGCATTTGAATTCTTCACCTCCACGCGCATCCTGTTCCTTCAGCAAGATTTCCTCAAGCGCCGTTATTTATATTTTGAAAACGCTTTATACCATTTTTTTTTTTATAATTTCTCTTCATTCTCTGCAGTGTTTTTTCCTTTTCCTGAGCGGCTCAGGGCTGCAGGCCACACCCTGCAGAACACAACACATAATCGGGGGCACCCGCCCTGCGGAGCAATGCGCTCACTGCCATTCCCAGCCCACCCCACCACACCAGCGCTGTAAACGAAATAAAATCACCCGGGGAAATGGCCTGGGGTGGGCCCTGCCTCACAACATGCCAGAGAAAAGCCACGGGGCAGCTTTTGGCCTCTGCAGCAGAAGGGGAATAAGTGAATAAGCACTGCACCTTGCTCAGAGTCATGGCACATTCCCCACTGATGAACGAAGCCCGGTTGACCCGAAGGATGAGTGTGTGTACCCAGCTTTGCCTTTGGCAAACACTGCTGCTCACGACCCAGTCACTGCACCCACACCAAGCTCCCCAAGAGCTGTGGCATGAATCAAAACTCAGCCCTGTGTAAGGAATCACAAACAGAACAAAAAAGGGAATCGTACTTATGAGTGTTACAGGATGTTAGATCAGCCCAAACCCTGCTGGACAGGTAAGGATTGAGGTTGCACTTTTCTGAGAAAGAGAAAACTTCCAGAGTACAAAATTGAGATAAGTAAAATTCAGAGAATCATGGAATATGCTGAGTTGGAAGGGATAATCCAAGTCCAGCTCCTGTCCCTGCATATAGACTCCCCAAAAATCCCACCCTGGCATCCCTGGAGCACTGTCCAAACGCTCCTGGAGCTCTGGCAGCCTCGTGCCCATTTCCTGGGGAGTCTGGGCAGTGCCAGCTCCCTCTGGGGGAAGAACCTTTCCCAAAATCCACCCCAACCCTCCCCTGGCTCAGCCCCAGCCCTTCCCTGGGTGCTGTCCCTGTCCCAGGGAACAGAGATCGGAGCTGCCCCTCAGGAGGAAGCTCCAGGAGACCCCACCTCAGTCTCCTCAAGGATGAATTATCAAGGATTAATATGAACTCTGTAATAACTTTATTAATGTGAAGTCAAAACTTAAAAATAGCATCTCAACTGGAGATGATCATTTTACCTGCAAAAACAAATTTATTAAATAAATAACGAAGAAGATTGTTCAAATAAAGCACTTTTTGGCCACTATTTTTTTTCATAGGAAGGAGGTACCAGTTTTGTTGTTGTGAGACATTAGTCAGGAATTCAGATAGACTCATCCGTGATCTGATTTATCTGTAACAAAATGATCTGGAACGAGGAAAATGCTCTTTTTTTTTACAAGAAGAATTATGAACATGGATTAGGACTGAAGGGAATTGTTTGCTAATTTAAAACTGAAGCTGATCTTACTCTGTAGTCTTAGGTAAATCAATTAATCTTCCTGATTTGGTTTCTTGGTTGCTAAAGAGGTCTGAAAATATTGGTGTACTGGTTTCAGAGTAGCAGTTTGGCTCGATGAACATTCCCAATGCAATTGGAAGGGAAATTCTAGTTTTAAGCCTTCTGTTGTCAAAAGAAGGCTGATTTCTTGCTCCCATGAAAAGCTAACTTTTCCATCAGCTGTCAGTATCAGTTTGCTCATTCCACCTCAAATGAACCCCTTGCTTTTGGTTCCCATTCTGACACACTCCATGAGCTCAGCTGCCCCACCCAGCTGGACTGGGGACAAATTCCTGCTCTTATCTCCAGCTCGATGGAAGCCTTATGCAATTAAACAATATTGTGACGAGGGTCTTATCTCAGGGCATTAACTTCTTCTTCCCTTGGCAAGGATGTGAGCGAGCTGGACCCAGCTGCAAAGCTGCTCTGAGCCCGTTGCTCTCTCCAGTTTGACCTTCCAGTGGAAAATAAAATCAAATCCGTATAACGCGAGCTCTCGCTGCGCTGTGTTCTTGAGACTCGAGCCTGCAGGAGGGGAACTCTTCAAGGCCACCTCCAGATTTATCTAGGGTACAAGGGAAGAGCTTTTGTAAACCCTTCAGCACTCTCCTGGCTCCTGAGAGAGCTGATGGCTCTGCACAGGACAGTTAATAGCAGCTAATGATGTGGGGGCCTTGCCAGGAGCATGGGTTGTGTAACCACCTCGTCAGGCACTGTTTGTTTTGGTTTTTTTCCACGACGATCCTCCCCCCTGGCTATGCCTGTGCAATGGCTTGACCTCATGAGAGATGAGAATTGTCTCATTAATTTTACTGGGCTGCTCAGTTTTGGAGCAGAGTGTGAAGTGCGGCAGGATTTTGTGGCTGATCTGTTATCAATCTGCTGAATGTGCTCGCACAATGCAGTCAGATAATTTAGTTGTCTGAGATCAAAAAAAAACCCAAAAATCAAATTATTTTTATCTATTCCCTGAGGGCTTCTGGGGGATAATGCTGTGTTATCTCATACTTGGGACTCCTCCAGTTCAGTTTCTCATATTCCCAGCATGAACTATTATCTCTTTCTTTGAATGAAAATGGTATCGATTAACAGCTCTGACTCTTCAGTAGTTTTGCCCTGCTTGTTTCAATCTGAATTTTTTTGTTTTAACCACGTATGGGCCTAGTTCCTGTGTGATGGGGAAAAATGGAAAGATGTGAATCTCTAAGTTAAGAAATTTTGACAGCAGGAAGAGGAAGAAAGGTAAAGAATCAATTAGAAATGTAGTATATTGCATACTCAGATTGCTGTCATCTCACTCTTTCTCTTGCCATGCTTTTAGACTTAAAGGCAAGAATAGTTGTGTTTTGTTCCTGCAGTGCAGTCTAACCTGCAGTGCAGTCTAACCTGCACTGCATGTGAGTGAGAAGATTCTGAACACAGCAGCAGTCACACAGGCTCAGGGGGGACCTTGTGGCTCTGCACAGCTCCTGACAGGAGGAGACAGCCAGGGGGACATCCAGGATGAGAGGGAACAGCCTCAGGCTGGGTCAGGGCAGGTTCAGGGTGGGCACAGCAGGAATTTCCCCATGGAAAGGGAGCTCAGGCACTGGAACTGCCCAGGGAGGTTTGGATCCCATCCCTGGAGTATCCCAGGAAGGGCTGGAGGTGGCACTGGGTGCTCTGGGCTGGGGACAGGGTGGGGATGGGACTCGATGATCCCGGAGCTCTTTTCCAACCTAAATAATTCCGTGATACCGTGCTGCCAGCGCCCTGAGCGCCACGGGGCTGAGCGGGGCATGGCGAGCGGACCCTGCGAACTGCGGGAGCCCCGCGGGCCCGCATCCTGCATCCCTCACCTTGGATCCTGCATCCCGCATCACTCACCTCAGATCCCGCATCACTCACCTCGGATCCCTCATCCTGGATCCCTCACCCCGCATCCCACGTCAGTCACCTCGGATCCCGCATCACTCACCGCGAATCCCACATCCCAGCTCCCTCACCCCGCACCCCTCACCCCGCATCCCTGATCCTTCACCCCACATCCCTGATCCCACATCCCTGATCCCGCATCCCTGATCCCGCATCCCTGATCCCGCATCCCTCACCCCTCTTCCCGGATCCCTCACCCCTCATCCTGCATCCCTGATCCCTCACCCCGCATCCCTCTACCCCGCATCCCTCATCCCACATCCCTCACCCTGCACCCCTCATCCCTCACCCCGCACCCCTCATCCCTCACCCCGCATCCCTGATCCCGCACCCCGCATCCCTGATCCCGTACCACTCATCCCGCATCCCTCACCCCTCATCTCGGATCCTGTATCCCTCACCCCGCATTCCTGATCCCTCACCGCGCATCCCTGATCCCTCACCGCGCATCCCTCACCCCTCACCCCGCATCACTGATCCTGCATCCCTCACTCCGCATCCCTCACCCCTCATCCCGCACCCCTCACCCCGCATCCCTGATCCTGCACCCCTCATCCCCGATCCTGCACCCCTCACCCCGCATCCCTGATCCCGCACCCCTCACCCCGTATCCCTGATTCCGCACCCCTCACCCCTCACCCTGCATCCCTCACCCCTCATCCCCGATCCCGCACCCCTCACCCCGCATCCCTCATCCCACATCCCACATCCCTCACCCCTCATCTCGGATCCCTCACCCCGCATCCCGGATCCCGCAGCCCTCACCCCTCACCCCTCATCCCTTATCCCTGATCCCGCACCCCTCACCCCGCATCCCCGATCCCGCATCCCGGATCCCGCACCCCGCACCCCTCATCCCTCACCCCTCATCCCCGATCCCGCACCCTCACCCCTCACCCCTCATCCCCGATCCCGCACCCGCACCCCGCACCCCTCATCCCGGATCCCGATCCCGCACCCCGCACCCCTCATCCCGGATCCCGCACCCTCACCCCTTATCCCCGATCCCGATCCCTCATCCCGCACCCCTCATCCCGGATCCCGCATCCCGCACCCCTCACCCCGCACCCCTCATCCCGGATCCCGCACCCTCACCCCGCACCCCTCATCCCCGATCCCGCACCC